GTATATATATATAGTGTGTGTGTGTGTGTGTGTGTGTGTGTGTGTGTGTGTGTGTGTGTGTGTGTGTGTGTATTCATTACATGCGTTTTGTATGATATATCGCCAACGTTTCATTTCATCCATAAATTTATCTTTGTCAATTATGCAGGATAAGCTTTTATACATAACATTATTAATTTATTTATATTACTTTTATGACAATATTTATTTTCTAATTTTTGCTAGTAATTTAACATTGAAATAACGAACAAGTTTACAATTATAAGTGATATAATTACAAGTGTTAAGCGCCAGTATCTCTACAATTTATTTAAAAAATAGAAATTTCAAGATAAATAACAGATAGAAATTTACACTATCTAATATCTATTTACCAATTAGCTACAATAGCTTTTATTATCATGTTTAAGAGCACTTTTCTTTACTTTTCATTCATGTCTCATTTTTGTAGTACATTAAATGCCGAATATGATATTTTCAAAATCTGAAAGAAAATAATTTTAGAAATGTTAATGCAGAGAACTATGTGCAGTTGCTAAAATTTCCAATCAATTTTACAAGTCTTTTTAACAAATATATTTATCAACGTTACGAATTATAGACGATAAAATATAGTAATTGCTTTTTTTATAATAAATAGATTACATGATTTTTTTAATAAACGACAGTAATACTAACATTGCTGTAAGATTGAAGAGACAAAGTTATCAAGAAGCTACTGGTAAATTTTATAGGAAGTGTACTGCGTAACATAATCATTAACAGTTCTTTCCTATCATTAACCGATAATAAAGGCCAATTCATACAATATATTGTATCTCCTACGCTCATACTCTGTTAACATAAATAAAATAATTATTTTATACAAATACTAAATCATTTTATTAGATATTTTGTGTGTGTGTGTGTGTGTGTGTGTGTGTACACGTCACATATACATGTTTTATAAATATTCGTTATATGTATACATGTATTACGTTATAATGTATGGTTTAAATATAGAATGATTTCAAACTTGCGATAAGTATTGAGCTACTTTAAAAATTCTTATAGAATATAATTGTAAAAATGTATTCGAAATTTTTTATCACTTTAGTTTACATAATAAATCTGTTTAGGACTAACTAAATCAAATCTTACCTTAAGTATGACTTCGTTTCCGGACCAGCAATAAACGTAAATTTGTACAAACATGCAAATAGTATACACTATCAAAGTAGCTGTTTCAGACAGCGTACTATGTGTTGACAGATAATATACACTTGTACATAATACCAATATACTGCCAAAGAATTGGACAAAGAGTACCTGATTGAATATAACATTTACTGTTTTAGCATATCTGTAATGATACCATATTAGTTAGTTGCAAGTTGGAAGTTTTTTTATTACATGTAATTTTTGCAATTTTAAGAATTGGCAAAATATTCGATAAATATTCTTTGCATTTGTTATTCATTAGATCAGCAATTTGGAAATAAAAAATATCGAATATAATTTTTTTAACATAAAATAATTCAAATTTCTTAAATTTATCAAATTTCTTTTAAAAAAGTTTTTTTCAGAGATCTATTAATAATTATCCATCAGTTCCAAATAATCGCCACACAATTATTCGTTATTTTTTATTTTTAAATCTTCTATCTTTAAATCTTCATCTTTCTATCAAGAATATAGACATAGTAATGTAAATAATATATAGCAGTAATTAATATATTAAAATATATTACAAAATGTAAATCAGATTAGACAAATGTACGCAAAAGAATTGATTCTAACTTGTAAATCTTGAGATGATGATATACATATTTTGATATTATCGCTTTGTTATTATTTGGCGAAGAAAGTGATTTTTCTATACATCTAATTTTATCTTTTATTAATTTTTCGCTAGTTTTGTTGGCTATTAATTTGTGTAGACGATTTTCAAAGATTTCAAATTGAGCACATGTTTGTAGAAACAATCCAAAAACTAGAGTTTCCGTGCCAACGTTAATAATAGTAACAAAAATCACAGTTATGATCTGTTGAATGGATGTAATCAAGAACATTGGAGATGTATTGTTAAAATTGTACGGTAACCATACGCGATAAGGTAAGTGACCTTGTATAACGTTTAGCACAGATCTTATTGTGACACCAGTAACAGAACTTGTTGCCAAAAGTGAATATTTTATCGAGCATGATCTGCAAAAGTATAATTAAGATTAGATTTCATATATTTTCTCAAGTCTCATTGTGACATGATTTTAATGTCTTCCTTTTTTTCGTTACAAAGTTTATAAGAAATTTTATTAGTCATTATAAAAATTTGATTATTATTCTCTGGTGGATGTGTATATGCGCGCGCGCATGAATATGATACGATTCTGCAAAAAGAAATATTTTAAAAAAGATTTTAATAATATATCTTTGAAACAAAAAAGAGGCTCTCTACAAATCTCCAAATTTTGGAGATTTGTAGAGAGTCTTTTTATCGAAGAAACGATTCTCATAGTCAATTGCATTAGATTAGATTCGAGGTTTCAATTTTACGCGATAAATTACTAATGCTTTCCTATTAAAGTACTATAACAATGACAACAAACGCTTACCTGATAAATTTATCAAATTTTGTTTGTATTGCCATTTCATCCTCACCTCGAGGTTTACAAGGTGCCGTCAACAATACTTGTACCAAGTTGATGATAGCATTCCGACGTACTACAACGATAGTTGCTTTACAAGTAACAGCGACGATAGTTAAGAACATTAGAGTATTTGTTGCAAAGTCATCGATATTATCGACAACAAAAATAATATCCATAAATTGGGTTATCATCAAAAAGTATAATAAAATTAATACAATAGAAGTAAACACATTGTACAGTAGCTTAGCAACGTTCGATGACCACTCGACAGGTCGCCATACACCACCGATAGTATACATTAAAAAATTTAGAGAAAACATTTGCATGTTTTTAACTCTCTCTATAATCGATTTATTGATATGTTGCACAAGAATATAGCGCGCGTCTGGATATTGAATATGTAGAACAAATGATTAATAAAAAATTGTAAAAGATCCTTTTATATGTATTAATTATTTGTTAGAAATTAGATGTCCGATTAGATAAAGCGGTTAAAAAAATAAAGTTTAATATGATAGTACTTTATAAGCTAAAAGCTAATAAGCTAAAAGTATAATTTTTTAAATACATAACACAATAGATATTAATTTCTGTAAGTGCTGTTCGCATTTCACATTCGTGCATTTTGCACCAAATTATCTAATTGCCACAATTATCTAATTGTGACAAATATTATAAATATTTGACGCACAAATTGTACATAACGTTATACGGATTAATAATAGGACAATATTGTTTAACTATGTAAAATGTACTAATGTAATTGAGAGAAAGAGAGAGAGAGAGAGAGAG